CCCAATTGACTCTCCAGATTTGGTATCTCAACTTCCTTTATCAGTTCTATCTGGCCGTGTGGAAATAGTTTGGTTTTTATAGTGATTTCTCGAATTATGTTTACAACGAGATGTCTTTGCATTTTAAATAGACAGCCCGAAGTGTTCATAACAAATTGTTTGTGTGTTTCGCAGTTACATACAGTGACATATTGTCTTTCCTTTGTTATCCTATCGATTCTTATCCTTTGTTTCTTTTTTGTGATATATTATCTGATAAAATGACCGACCAGCAATTAGTCGTCGTTGCACAAGTGAAGGAAGACAAGCCGATCGAAGTCGACGACATGATAATTGATACTTGGCTTTTTGAAATTTGCGAGGCATCCACCCAGTTTGCAGCCGGCGACTTTGAACCGGCGGTTCATTCAAACTGGATAGACCAAGCGGATAAATTCAAGGCGGCACGGCTACTTTTCAATGAGCTGCCATTTGGCGACGACAACTCGATCCGGGGACGCCACAAGTCCTGGGAAGACTTGATAGAGTTAATTGCTTTGGGGGTCCCGGGAAGCGATGTCATGGCCGTTCCCGAAGATCCAGCCGAGGACAGCCAAGAAAATGCAATTTGTGTGGAAGCTCCGGCGCCACGGTGGAAACGAGTCAGGAGAGCAGTTAGCCGGCGAATGAGAGCTTTTGGTAGAGCTTTGTGCTGGTGTCGTTGAATAGATAACGATACGACAACGATCACGGTTCCATGCACAACCCACAACAAGTAATATTAATAACATGATAAAGAAGAACAATTTATTACATATATTTTAAACAATATTAAATAGTTAAATACAATTAACACATTGACGGACATGACTGCTATATCAGTTATGTGCATGACCGTAATATGAGTGTCACTCTCTTATCTCGATAACTATCATAGTTATGACAAAAAATGTTAGAGCTTTTCTGTTACAAATTGTGATCTAAATACATTGTTAACATAAAAATATATCACTGCTATAGCAGTTCGAGTCCCTCGAAAACTTTTTTTCTTTTTATATGGTCGTGTGACTGCTATATATGACTGCTATAGCAGTTACATAAATAAATTACCTATGATGATGGGTTTTCATTTATTTCATGACACATAATCAATGAAATAAATTATAATTAACAACAAATGAGTAAAAATTTTAAACAAATAAGATTGTTAATCCACAAGAGGCCATACAAAATAATATTAATAAAAACTATTTTTAGAAAATTTGATAAACATTTGCTCGACCTTTTGTTAAGTCACAATTGGACACTGCATAATTCTCGACACGGTGAAGCCATAACAACAGTCACTGCAATAGCAGTTATTCCATTTTACGACTTCCGAAAATATAACTGTTATAGCAGTCATCAACGAATCACAACTTAAAAGATTATGACTGCTATAGCAGTGAATGTCCGTCAACGTGTTAATCGGTTCGATCTGAACGACCGATACGGAACCGATAAGGTGTGATATGTTAAGAATTATTTGGCGGGCAAAAGGGAGCGTGGGGACACGCGCCCTTTTAATAATCTCTAACATATCACACATATCGGTTCCGTATCGGTCGTTCAGATCAAACCGATTAATTGTATTTAACTATTTAATATTGTTTAAAATGTATGTAATAAATTCTTTATCATGTTATTAATATTACTTGTCTCTGTTGCTCGCCGCCTGTTGTGGGCTGTGCATGGAAACGTGATCCGGTCGTCAAAGCTTTGTTGCCACGTTGGGTCAAATTCGAGATATTTTGCTGACGCATTGTGACCTCCCCCCCCCCTTATATTTTGTAAGCACGTTCCTGATCTGTAATAAATTATTATACTATTGTTGTTATATGGACATTGTTGTTTTGTTGTTAAGTCATTCGAGGCAATTGCTTGTTAAAAGCCCTGGTTCAACACCAATCATATTAAATTTAGTTAATAGAATAGCTGTAAATAGTAATCGCTATTTTGCACGATGGACAAAACCATATTATATTTCCAGTCAAGATATTATTCTAGGTTGGATATGAGTTAATTTGTGGTATTTACGAGCAACGATATGTATAATATATTGAATAACTTACCAGTACTTAAGAAAAAATACAAATTTGATAACGAGTATTAGCTTATAATTGTGAAAACATATATTTGCATACATCATTTAGCTATTGTAACGGACCTACTTGTCTAGCCGGCTAGACTAGGCAAAGTGGCAAAGACTCTGACCTGGGTTGGACGATGAAATGGTTGGTCAAAGCGGAGTTGAAACGGACGCACACAAAAGATAGTCGGATGGGCGGCTTGTAGTAAAACGGCAAAAATATGGAGCGCTAGGTCGAGGATATTGGCGGTCCGTGATGGTAAAGTCAACTGGTTAAGTAGATGATACGCGACGTGCATTGTCCTGTGTGTGCGACCGTTCCCCTACCCATAGTCGGGGGTGCTGTGTCAGTAGGTTTGGGACACGAAGTAACGGTCAGGTGAAATATGATCGTTACAACAGCATCCTTGAAAGCGATTTAAAAATGTTTTTTCATCTCTACATGTTTAAGCAGACTGAAAATATCTCGATTAATTTTGGTTTTAGAGTAAAAGCACCTATTATAAAATTGAAAGAAAACAATTTTTTGGAGGGCAAGACGGTACGCTTTTTTCATTATTCCAAGTATAACGCTTAATACATAGTTTAAAAAAAACGACTATTTTAACATTTTTTAATGACTGTAACTTTTCAAAAAAATAATTTTTTTAAAAAAACGCTCCGTCTTGCCCTCAGGAATTTTGTCTTCTTTTAATTTTGTAATGGACGCTTTTACTCTAAAACTAAAATTAAGCGTTAAGTTATTTTCAGTCTGCTTAAACATGTTTTTACCACTGAAAATCACCGGTGTGACGCCCTCTTAAGAAAAAATCATAATATAAGAATACAACTTTAAACTTTAATAGAATATTAATTATCGTCTTTACTGCAACCATACAACTATTAAATTTAATCATTATTCGAATGAAAATGTAGGTTTTTATATTTTATACCTGTTACAGAATATATATGTGATCGCACAAGACGTTAGCAAGTTATCACGTCTACAATTAAAAACAAAGTACATTTTATTGTAAATCATTTTTTGTTTTATAATACAAATCAATATGGAAATTTATGTTTATTCACAAAACATATGAACAATTCATTACTAAGTATTTACCACGCATTGTATCGTCAGAGACTCTTTCTTTGGTTGCTGAAAATAAAACTGAAACATTTTATACTTAATCAATATCGATACAACTATGTTGAAGTAATTCCATAACTTGCTAAAAGAATTTATTACCCGGTAGTCCTAGCATAATAGTCATTTCCACTGAAAAAAACATAAAATAAATGTATTATATTTAAACACATAAATATCAATATTTTATAAATTCTGAGCAAAATATGTTTGAATATAATTTTATGTCATATATTTTCATCTACTAGCATGATATATCATTATTATTCATTTATTTGCTATTAGTATAATCATAATTACCCATCATATATCCTTTAAGAATAATGTCTATAATGATTGCCGGCACATCAGCTAGAATAAACAAATAATGAGTTTTGCTATAAACAAAGATAGAAAATACTTAAGCAATACTTTTGAAACAAATCCTGGACTTAAATCACAGTTTAATAATTTTTTTAGCATTTGTTTAAGTTTTTTTAAAGGAATTTTACTGATTATATGATAGAATTAACACACAATAAATGTTTAGCAACAAGAGAATTGTGCCCTTCTTGATTACCTATTTATGTTCTTTAAATTTAGTGGCTACCATTTTACCTAACATTCCTTAACTTGTTATGTTAACAGTGAATTTTAAGTGAGTTCTAATTAAATTATGGAAACTGCGCCTTTGAGTATAATTATAAATTTACTAATTTAAATCATTTAAGTATCAACGTTAGGTTTACAACTCTGGTAGCTTCACAGTTTACATAAACAAAGCATAATATATCGAAAACATTATATATCATTATTTAAATATATTTTACCTTCTACAAGCTTTATATGTTCGTCTGTAAAAAGTTATATACATAAAGCATGACTTAAACAATTACTTTTTATTGAAAAAATAGTTTACTCACTTGTCAGGATAACCTGCTTTACATATTCATCTGGAAAAAAAGTGTTGAGTTTTTTTTTTATAAATTTCTATAATCGCGTTAAGTACTTAAAAATATGAAATAATCACCTAATTCAGCTACCAAAACATTTACCAAGGCAAACGGTATTAAAATACATAAAAGTTTCATTGTTATCTGCAAAAATGTTAATTATTAAATTATTTTAGGTTAGACTAAGTAATCATTTAATTATCAGCTTCAATGCAGAGCTTAGATGCTACGACAATATTGTATGTTTATTTCACATGTATTATGTGACCGGATCCACGCAATTCGTAAAACTACTGACTGATTTACCCTTTGTGAAAAAGAGAAAAAGCTCTAAAAATGTAGAAATTTTTTTGATTTTCATTTAGAAGACCAACATTTTGATAACTTAATAAAATGTATAACAAATGTACTTACTGTCTTAGAAGTTTGTTAATGAGTATACAACAAGTTAAACTATTGAAATACAAGAACTGTTTTTGAAATGTTTTTCTTGCGACTTTTCAATGGGTTTTTATGTCAATGGAAACAGTAAATCTTAATATAGTTTATTGAGTGCCTATGTTAATTTATTTGCATAGCTGATTTAAAAAAAAATTGTATTTATATTTACATTACCGTGACGCAAGCTCAGTCTATTTCATTCTTAGTGTAAGGTATTAACATCACTCGTAAAACAAATGTTTACTTAGGTAATATATTTTAACCAATGTAATACATTTATTTTGCTTTTTTCTTGTCTAAAATTTTAACTTAAGGCTAGATTTTTTTCCGATGATATTTAAAACGTTTCTTACCTTGTAGACTGAAACTTATTCATAATATATAATAACTAATAATGGGAATTTACTGCTTGAGAGGTACTTGTTCTTATAAATGTTATTTATAACAATAAATAACATTTTGTTATTTTAATATGTATAGCCTTTATATAATTTTTTAAGTTTATTTGTTATAAGCAACAAAGTGTATTTTTTACGTGAATTCCTTATTATTTTCCCATAAATTACCAAGTTCTTTTTTGTCTACGAACACACTTAGATCATCATTCATTAATCCGAGAACCATATATTGTGTTGCACGTATTAACATTTGTCTTGCTAGTTGATCTGCTCCGTAAGTATTTATAAACTGTTGTGCATTTACAACGTCAATATGATGTAATGGATGTAATTTGCTTGTGTCATCTATGCACAAATATAAAAAAATATTTTAAAAACAGTTATAATAATGTATAATTTATAATTAAACTGTGTCACGAAATAAAACTCGCTAAGATCAGGGCCATATTTTAGATTTTAGGGTAATTTTATTTAAAGATATACATCAAACATGAATGAAATGTGCATTAAATATTCGTTCTTATTTCGCTAAGTTCAGTCTCGTAATTATATTAAACATAAATAAATCAGGAAAAACCCCCTCGATTTTCATTAATCCACGTAGAACTTAAATACAGTAATTTCAAACAGGCCTGGCCTGTTCATCAACCAATTTACAGTCAACCACAAGTGTGGGTTTTAGATATTAAAATCCCACAAAAAAAAAATCATTAATATTATTCTGTAGAATGTATAATAAAATACCAAACAAACATTTTGAAAGAATAATTGAGTTTTGCCACTGCCAGCACTTCGAGATGCTCTGGTATCAACGTTTCCGGGAGCTCGTGCGGCAGGTTGTTGGTTTCACCACAATCAAGTAAAAAAGTAAAACATAAATAATTTTTATATTTAAACACATGTATCTTTAAAGGCTGTGTGGAGAAAAATGAGTAAGCTCGGTTACTTGAATTATGCAAACCATAATGAGAATGCTTTAAAAACAGTTAAACTTCTGTTATGTCTTCCCCTGCTTCCGGCCCGCAACATTGAAAGAGGATTTACTCTTATAAAAGCATTCGTTCACCACCGTGGAGTGCACCTTGAACGTCTACTTCTATATTACCAAAGGTATTTCATTGTTTCAGATCAAATATCGCCATTAAGAAAAGCCTTTTTGTTAAACTGCAATAAAAAGATTTATTGAAATCAGATGTGTTTTAATGACACTATAATTATGCTGAAATAAATAAATAATAACTACAATACCTGGTTAAGACTTGAATCCAAAAATTATGTTTCACATGTTATTTAGGTACCTGATAAGGTCTGTTGGACCAGAGGTTGTTTCGGTAAATGGATTGCCAAGAAAGACCAACAACCCAGACAGCAATTAATTCTTTACAGAACTTTTTAAAAACGTTTTAAATATAAAGTGCGTCTTCTCCAAATGTTTTACAATCACTGTCCTTAAATTATTTAACTTTTCAATAACATTCCTTCAAACTTATTTGGCCACAAAAATAAGGCTCAGATAATATTATTTTTAAACGTTTCTCCAATGTAACCGTTATACAATTTTTACTATGTTATCTCAGTACATTTTAGGGATATTGTTTATATAAAGCTATTAAAACATTAGACCTTCAAAGTTCTTATAAGGTTTTAAAACAAGATAGAAGTAAAATAATAAATTTTTTTTAAATCTTCAGTAAAATAATTCTCATCACCATAAAATATATATAGGTATTATATAGTAACGCTGTGGGCAATTTTATTTAAAAAATGTAATTACATACTGTAAAAAAAAACAACATGAATCAAGTTAAAACTATATAATTTTGTATTTAATATTATAAATATAAGCATATAAAGATTTCACAATATTTTTTATTGTTAATCAGCAACACTTTTTAAAACATTTAAAAAATTTAAGTCAATATTTAAAAACATAACATATAATAAAAAATACTTTTAATTATAAAAAAAAATGTATTTAAAGAAAATTATCATTGATAAATAATCAATGATAATTAATCAATGATACAAAAAAAGGCAATAAAAAATACTACTGAATAAGTAGTTTCAAAATAATACTGCAATGATATACGATGTTATGTTGTATTATTTTTATTTTTGCCTTTTCTTTTCGAAATTTTGCATGGTCTAACCAAACTTTTAATGGAGCATTTATATTCTGATCCGGTACACTGGCATATTGTATATTTCTCCTAATAGCATCTGTAACATAGTGTCAAAATTATAAATCAATATATAATAAATTACTACACATTAAATACACATATATATCTAGCTATAACAATTTTTTGAGGTTTGATTAAAACGTATTTGTATGCGTGCTCAGTTGAAAAATTATCAAAAATAAATTACTACCCTTCTTCTCCTTTAAATAATTGAGAGGGAAAATTCGTAATAACAATTAATAGGAAAATTAGGCAACAATTATTATTGTGTCAAAAAGTCTGCAAAAATTAAATATTGTAAACAATAAAATTGCAAGAAATTAGCTGGGGGTTGTAGGTAATCTGAAATAGGCTATTTTTTTTTTATTAAGTTGGATACTTAGAATATTTAGTTGGTTAAAGGATTTACCTAATTATTAATTAAACAAATAAATATAAAAGTTATATTTAATATTTTTGTTTTTTTTGGCCAAGCACAACTATCTTTTTTCATCCAAGTATCTGGCACAGCCTCTATACTGTTATCTTTATGGAAGAATACAACTTCCCAACGACTCATCTAAAATACAAAAACACGTTATAACTACATGCATACACTTAAATAATATAACAAGTAAAAACAAAAAATAAAAATAGTTTTAAAATACCCAATGACAAGGCTTCTTCTTCTGTATGTAGTACAGGCATAGCTATGATTTCTTTATTATGATTGAAGACCAACATTTTTTTTTTTATATCCAATATATTCCAACAATTTAATGATTCTTGATAACATTTTACAGTGTAAATATCTAGTAATATTGAATTTGTTGGTTCGTTAAGAAAAAATGATGCATATTGAAACTTGTATCCTATTACAAAAATATTATTATCAAATTCAATAATATTAACACATTTAACAATGACTCCTTGTTTAGTTAAAACAAAACTATCTGCCTCTTAGTGTTTTCTAATAACTATAGAAATATTTTTGAAAATCACACTATAATATTGAACACCACCAAAGTTGTTTATCAATGGACCACTCACATGAGATCTTTTAAGAATTGGTTTTTCATTTAGTTGTTGAACAATTTTATTTTTCTCACTATTTTTGTTTATTTCTGAATACCTGTTAATAACCTGGTGTAATGGTTTTTCATGTTTTCTTACTAGAGATTTGAGTTCTTTCATGAAGTTTTCAAAAACAAATGCACTACACTGATCAAGTGGACCAAATTGATCATAATCATCACATAAGTGATACATTATATTCACCATACAAACTTTGAAATTGTTTCACAAAAAAATCTAATAGGTGCCGGGCATAGTTAACCAAAAGTTTGTAATTTGGACTAAGGAGTTTTATCATTGCAATATTTAAGGACATAAAATGAGAATAACATTCTTCACTTAATTTAGATTTCTAAACAATTGGTCCAGAATAAAGTAAAAAAAACGAAGCTCGACTGCTTTCCATCGACCAAGTTCACGAAGACTTCTGCATTTTCTTACAAAAGCTGATGGAAAATCTGTGTTTAAAGCTAATAATGATTTTGAAAGTTCTTTAATATCTCTTGACCGCAAACGCACATTCAAAGGCCCAACTTTCCAAAGTAGCAATAATTTTTTCATGACCCCCAAGTATATTAAATTATTAGATATATATAGGTATATATATAAACCTATTGTACTGCACCAAGAGATTTAAGCAGCACACTTATAAGACTTAGAAGATATGAGAAAGGTAATTCAGACAGAGTATAAACAAGTTTATAGTAATGTTTAATTAACACTTTTAAACATAATAATAATTCAAGACAATACTTATAATAGTGACACAGAGTATCAATTAGATCACTGAGTATACTAATTAAGTACTGAGGTCTCTAGCTTAATAACTAATGCCCTTTTATATTAAACTAAAACAATGGTTAGTCCTACTACTACTCAAAAATAATAACAATAGTCAATAACGATAACGCGTGATTGAGCTATTGGCCAACACGCGCGGCTACAAACAAGTAAAAGTATTACAACATCTATATGGCAATAATAATATGACTAATAATAACAAACAATAGTATTGGGATTATTACACTATTGATTTTTTTTTAATTACCTAGTTAAAAAGTATTAGAATAATTTCTATTCTTATTAAAATATAATATAGGTATCAAGTGTTTACTGGTTAAATATTAAAACAATTAAAAGTTCTTCTCGTTAAAATTATTTAAAGCAAAATAATTATGATACCATAAGAACCATCAGTATTCAAAGGGAACCATACATGACATGTATTATAAAAATCAAATAATAGTGATTGCAGAAGTAGCCGGTATAAGTGTACTTTACCGGGCACCCTTTTTTTCGATTTTTTTTTTTATCGATATTACGTTTATTGCTGATGAAATTTTGCTAATGAATTTTTTGCCGGGCGAACTTAGTTTCGGAGTTACAGACGTTTTAAGTTCGCGATTACGGGCGGGCGCGCAATAAACAATAACACGGTTACAGCGGGATCGACTACCTGCTCTCGCCCGTCGTGTTTTTTTTTTTTTTGCCGTACACTTAAAATACCAAGAATAGCTCACTCGACGAATACATTACCTCACATAATAATAATAAAAATAATAATAATAATAGTAATAATAATAATAATAATGATGCAATAAAAACGGACAACATTGAATTGAGTCCCGTTTTTTATCTTAATATGTTTGAATTGATTACGTAGATAAGAATGTAAGCATAGTCTCCTTTGCTATTATTAGGAGGGAATTTGCACGGACTATATTGAATTGAGTCCCAAATAAACAATGAAGTTGGACAGTTTCCCCCCAAAAATTTGGTGTGATTTTTCAGCAAGCACTAATCGGACAACTAACAGTTGTGAAAGTTTTCATGCAAAATTAAATGCATTGTTTCACTCAGGACATCCGAATATTTTTATTCATGTTGTCACTCTTCTAGGCATACAGTGTGATACCTATATTAAATTACCAAGCAATGCAACAACAAAAACATGTAAAAAAACATTGGAAAAAGAACAATTTTTACGGGAGCATATTATCAAATATCAAAATAAAAAAAATAGTAGATTTGACTACTTAAAATCTGTTTCATTTAAATTTTTACCAGCAACTATTTAAACTCAGACATTATTTTAATTATTTTTAAAAATTATTAAAATTGAAAGTTTTTTTTGACCATTTATAAACAAGCAAAGCATTTGTAAGCAAGCACACACATTTTTGGGAGACTAATCAGCCAACCTCCACGTGATGTCTCCTCGATAACGCTAATAGGCTGAAGGGACTCAACTCAAACAACCAAAAAAATATTTGTTGGACTCAATTCCGACAACCCACAAATATTCGTGGGACTCATTTCAATGTTCGGGACTCAATTCAATATCACCGATAAAAACGTAAACTGGAAAAAGTACTATTTTGGGATCTCGCCGCGCGTAAAAAAATGACCACGGCGGCCGATAGCAGGTAGTCGACCCGGCTGTAGCTGGATCGTTGCTCAGTGCGAGGCCGTTCGAAATCACGAACTTAAAACGTCTGTAACTCCGAAACTAAGTTCGTCCGGCAAAAAATTCACTAGCAAAATTTCAACAGCATTAAACGTAATATCGATAAAAAAAAAAAATCGAAAAAAAAGGGTGCCTGGTAAAGTACATTTGTTCCTCTAATGAGATACAACGCAGTAGAAATACTTACCTATTTTATCACGGATGTGTTGACAAATCCTAAAAAAGTGTATCTGATTCGACAATAGGTACTGTCAAGTTATGATACACCTAATCCCAGTATAAACTTAGATTTTCTATGCTATTATATAGCAAGCCCTTTCACAAACACAAAATATATATTATCAAATCCGAAAAAGGAATTCCGTTTTTGAACACCTATACCGGGTGATTGGTTAACTATGGACCACTCAATATCTTGGAAGATATTAGACTTTTTTAATTTTTTTTTTTTTGTACTATTATAGTTATTAGGTAGGACAAATTTAATGTATTTTTCAAAATTTTAACACCATCCCTTATGCGTTAAAACCATATCAACTTTGGATTTTTAAATGGTAACCCCCAATTTTTTTTTGATGATCGTGTTTATTTTTTTTAAATTTAATTTTAGGCGTAAAAACTAGGTAAATCGATTGAGTAGTTAACGAGCTACACAGTTTTAAAATTAAAGGGAGTGTAAAAAATAAGTTAAATATCTTGGAGACGCTAACATATTAAGGTGACACTTGACTGCTCTCTGTTATTATTTATTGACAATTAACTTTGACAATAGCTATAGTAGCGTTTAAAAATCATAACCGTACCAAACACTATTTACTTTAGGTAAATAATTCACCGATAGTAAATAATAATGATAACCGCTATATCGACTGACAAATATACCACCACTACACACTTTTACATTTATTTTATAAAATAGTAGGTATGTTTAATTTGTTATCAATACCTTGTGTATATATTTCCAACATTTAGCAATTATATGTTTTGGTTAATTTGACACATTTTGTTTATTCATGCGATTTGTACGTCTTAATTTCATGATACACCGTAGAAAATATATAATAATATATCTTCATGTTAGATTAGACTTGGAGCCTGACAGTTCATACACTGTACACGAACGACATAATATGCATAATATTGCACTTAACAATATTCTTAAAAAAAATGATAACATTGTACCTAAAGTGCAGTAGAATATACACTTATAAATGTGTTTTCATTAATGCTGCGTTTTATATATAAATACTTAGTATACTAATTTGGTTAGGTTAGATTTAAACAAGTATATCATAATATATTAGACCTATGAAAAAAAAATATATTATTATTGTTAATAATAATTAAGAATTTCGACTTTAATGTATACTTAATAAATATGTGTACAGTAATGAGGATGTAATGATAATTTTTTGATTGTCAGACTATCACAGTGATTTCTATAGATTTTATAAGTCTGAAGATAGGTCTAACATATTATACCTACAACAAGTGTAAAATACACTTCGGAACTATTCACGGTAAAAAGTAGAACAGATGTTATTTAAAAAAAAACATTCTATTTATTTATATATGCTGGCAAATACTACTAATATAGGTACATGTATATTAAAAACGGCTTGTTTATAATGTAACTGTTATTACCGCACCATTTCAGTGTAAAACAACATATTTCTCCGAACCGTTTTTGCTAATTTTTCCTGTTTCGAAGGATTTCTTACAGCTAATACAACATGTATAACCTGTATTTTACGGTTTTTGTGTTGATGGTCGTTGTGTTGGTTGGAACAATGAGCCAATCAGGACTACATAAAGTCATTTGGAATTTGACGATGGACAGCCGCCATTTGCACTGCAGTGTAGATATAATTTCCTACCCGTGTTTTGGCATGGTGCTGCCCGAAGTCAAAAACCTTGACGGTACTTCACTTATTGAATTTGGAAAACCAAATTTGCCGATCCTGCAGGTCGACACACAGGTAATAAACTTCTCATAGAAATTTAAATATTTTGCGCTTAAAAGTTTCTCCGAAATCTATTATAATATAAAATACCTCTCTCAAAAAGTTATATAAGGAAGAACAAGTCAGTTGGAATTTGACGATGGACAGCCGCCATTTGCACTGCAGTGTAGACATAATTTCCTACCCGGGTTTTGGCATGGTGCTGCCCAAAGTCAAAAACCTTGACAGAACTTCACTTATTGAATTTGGAAAACCAAATTTGCCGATCTTGCAGGTCGACACACAGGTACACTTCTCATAGAAATTTACATATTATTTTGTTTTTAACAGTTATATACCTACCCCACTGACCAGAATTTGTAAATTTAAAATTAATTTTAGAATTTAACTCTATAGCTGTATTCTTCAAATGTATTTAACAGGTTGTTGGAACGACCATTCTGACTGGCATCCGAGAAATTGGCAAAGGCCTATTCGCAAAGATGTGTTACGGAGTTGTGGTCAGTGCAGTAGCTATTGTGCTGATTTTTGCTAGTATTGTCATACTGGTACTCTTACTCACGGCTATTGCACCTTTGCTACTTGTATTGACTTTTTATGCACTGTTGCTGAAACTTCTGACTATCATGGTATTTCTGCCGATGTTTCTAGTATGGATAATCGTCAGTGTCATTGTAATGTATATTGTTATTCATTTGAAACGTTCACATATCATATAATGTTATCGTACATTAACAATTTTCCCATAACTTATATTATTATGGTATAAACTAATTGTATATAATCCAAGCAGCTGTACGCCACAGCCATGGTGCGTAACCCGTCTTATACCAACTTGGAACACAAACTACATAATATTGTAAAATAATATGATTTTGTACTTTACAAGTTTACTGGTTTGTTTTTTTATGCAAATATATTTTACAGAAATATCGCATGTTATCGGATCGTTTTTATTAATACCGTTATACAACAGAACATATGTAGTGAAGCTATTTTTAGATACCGTCGACAATTACTTTTAGCTTTAACTCAATACTTTTACTGACATTTGAAAAAAACGCTTTTACATTTGTCCCGCTTAACTCTACCTGTACCACGTGGTGGCGGTTAGGTTAGTATTAATACCGTACATTAAAAAACATCTTGCCCTGTTTAAATTAAAGATTTGAATAGAAAACAACTCTATGCAAACGAAACTCGATTTGTTACAACAACTTTTTAAATCGTTGTTTACCCAAAGTACTTGCTTTTGCAGTGTGGGTCACAATATTCTTTCAGCTGTGCGGTAGTACGCGACGGCCCATGGTCTTAAGATTGTCTTAAGATACGTGGTAGTAATATTATTATAAGGAAATATTGTTTAGAGGATTTTACGCTATCATCGCCGTGCTGATCGATTTTTTAAAAACAAATCGTTGTATACGTTAACTCTTCACCGGTCTTGTGCAAGTACATATATACTTGGAAATATATATACACAAGGTTAGGTTAGGTAGGTTAGGTTAGGTTAGGTAGGTTAGGTTAGGTTAGGTTTACATACAAGTCTGCGCGGGGAGGCCGTAAAGTCACGGAAAATATTGTCACGGACCGTACGAATTCGGAATCTAAAATATTATTATTATTATTAAAATATTATCATTTTTATTGAAACTAATTTTTCATTTAATAAATGATTAATATTATAATATCTGAAGCACTGAATAAAAATTACAAAAATAAGAACAATAAATTTTTTAATTTATATTGAAATTCAACATCAACATTTAATTTATTATTTTATTATTTATAGAAGTATAATATAAGTATTCGCTCCACTCTAAAAAAGTTAAAACTATAGATTTTGCTATATTTTTTAAAATTAATACTACATAATGAATAATAAAATTATTTTAAAATTTTTAATTATGATCATTTAGTAGGATGAACTGTTGGTTAGCCATCTAAAAAAAATCAATTTATGGATTTAAATATATGGATCAAAAAAATATGAATGTATTATTAACTTATGGCCGGCGTAGCCGGGCACCCCACTCAGAACCGCTGTGTACTGACATATAACATACTACGTTTGAACAAATTTTGTTTCACAAAGGTAAACCATAACAGACATTTAGCCGACTAACCTCTAGACATCTTTATCTGTATCTCTAGTTTTATAAATAATAGTTGTCTCAAAAGTCCGGGGGAATGTAAATATACTCTGTACTTATATGTACAATAAGTCCCATGAAATAGTACAAACAAGTCGTAGTTCGTACATTTATGTTGTGACAACTTTTGTGTAAAGTGTATACCATAGGTTATATATAAGTCTATAAGTTAAGTTTATATATGTTAAAATAGAAAGTATTCCAAAAAAATAAAAAGTCACTAGCCAAAATAAAAAAAATTAAAGGATATATTAAATCACTCCTCAAATGGAAAAATTGTTCAAACTCGGTAATTTTAAACAAATATCAATTACTATTATTTTTAACAATAACTTGACTTCTATTATAGGTACATTCACCTTTAAGAAATTAATAGTTTTTTGCATTTCACTGTTTTGGGTGTAATTTTTGGGCTTTAAACCTGACAATTAACCGAGGCGATTTTGAATTTAGATTCTATTATTTTAATGTTATAGGCCCTATAATATAGGGTA